TATGCTAAATAATATATTTGACAATTGCTATTTAGTTCTTAAACCCGATGGAAAGACTATAATAGGGTGTGAACAAGGATCACTTAATGTTATTACATGAATTAAAACTTCATTCAACCATTTCTTTTTTTATGTATATGTATTAGTATTTATGTATACACCAACTATTAATTATAATTATAATTAGAAATAATAAACTGACAGCTAAATACCATATAATTTTATTAATCGCAAGTATATATTTTCATGAAACTCTGCCTCAATATTATTCTGGTCCAATTTTGAACAGAATGTATCTATCCTTCCCTTGTCTACATTACACACAATATTTGTTTTTAATGTACAATATAACAAGCCTGTCACTATATTAATATTGTGACATTATTTTTTTTTACTTGGCCTTTCAATTAATTATTATGTTCCACCACATTAATTGTGCGCGTTTTTGTGGATATAAAGTGAGAGAGAAAAAGACCTTGACAATAAAATCAATAAATTAACAATAAAATAAAAAATAAAATCGAAAATGAACAAATTATTGTTTAGCATTTACTTTTTCTTGTTCGTTTTTCCAGTTATCATTTACACATTTCCCTCACCTTCATTGGTAAAGAGAGCTTTTACACCATGCGAAGGCACTTTTCCAATTACCTTTAGTAAATACGAATATACCCCTGATCCAATTACTGTAGGTAGTCCTGTCACCGTAACCGTCGAAGGCGCGAGCACGATTCCCATAGACCCACTGACTATACTTCGAGCCACTATTACTATTGAAAGTGAAAATATTACCGCCATTACCGCCGACGTGCCTTTTTGTACAACATATAATCTACAATGTCCACTTGCACCTGGACCTTTCTCATATACAAATACTACAGACATTCCACCCGTTACTGGTGACTCAGGCAAAACTGTTGTAATTGATCAGATTCTTAATGGTATGGTATTATTTTATTATTTCTCTATATTGTTCCATTTGTTGACTTGTTTGTTCAAATACTAAAATATCAACAATTACTATTTAGTTATTGCTCCTGATAACGTAACCACAATAGGGTGTGTGCAAGGAAGCATATCCGTCTATTTTCCTTAAATCTTTTTTTCAATTTATGAATTAAAAAAAATCAATATTTCATTCGTTAATGTAAATTTTTTTCTATAGATTAATTAATATACATTAACCTATATAGTTATGCACATCAATTATTTTTAATTAATATTAATAAAAATATATTATACATCTCAATAATAAAACATGCATTTTTGCCCCCCAAAAAATCACAACAATTGACTAGAACATTTTCCATGTTTCAATTATTTTGCATAACGCTTAAAATATTCAGATAGAGCCTCCTCTAAAGAGTAATAGCAATAACTAATGACTTCTGATTTTTCAATTTCGTGGCATTCATTACCGGAATTTCCATTGTTATTATTGATCTGCTATCAAAAATCGAGGAAGTTGTCAAAACTAGTTTGAAGAGATAAAAGTCAAAACTAAATTAAAAGTTATATTTCAAAACTATATCAAAAGTCAAAAGCCAAAAGTCAAGGGCAAGTTTTCGAATTTCACGCTCTATAGCTAATTTTGGAAACTAACACTAATCGAGAATGATAGATTAGACTTTTCGCCACGTTTTGCCAATTCTTCAATATGAGGCTCTAATCCACATACAGGAACTTACAACCGATTCTTTGGTGTTAAATCTACAAAGAAATAAGGAATCTACATTAAACAATCATATATTTACATAAAGTAGCAATCAATTTATTGGTCGAAGTCACGTGATTATTAATGCGTGTAAAAAAGATTTAATAACTTTGTTATTTTTAATTAATTTTCTAGTGAGGGAAACATTTTAAATGTATATTGATTGCCGTTGTTTGTAATCAATAAATGCAAATAATCTATATATATTGGCCAATTGTCCTTTTTTATTGATATTGAAATCAATCTCCGGTAAAATTAACAGTCAATCAGCATTTTGCTTTTATTAATAATAAAGATTTTGCATTATGTAACATAGGAAATATATACAATATGAATTAAATTTCAGTCAGGGAAATCACTTTGTCGATCAATTAATGTTACATCAATAATAAACATTAGTACATATTAATATTAATACACATAAGTCGGACGCAAGCAATCAATTGTTGATAATATAAATATAAACAAAATGACCGACTTATCAGATCGAGTTTACATGTGTATTACTATTACTATTATTAGTTAATTCCTGCGAAACTGTTTCAATTGTTTTTACAATAGCCATTGGTTGCGCTTATGTTCAGATAATAATTGTCGCTTCTTATTGTTTACTTTTTATAGTATTAGTAAAAGAATTTCAAATTGTTTATTGGCAACATAAAACCTCTTGTTATATCCTTTGTTGCACGGAAAATAATCGATAGCTCTAGAGGTTGCACCCAATGAATGATATTCAGTGAATATTTGGTTAATAAGATATTTGACTTTTTTCATTCAAATATAAAAAAAAAAAAAAGAATATTCACAAATAATGGACTGTTTTTAAATCCACTTTTTATTTGAAAAGATTGTTTTTTGTAAAAAAAATTTTTTGATAATTCTAATAAAATGTAAAATTGATTAAATAAATTTAAATTTTTTTGTTAACAATGAATGTTTACTGAATATTAACTGAAAAAACGAATGAATATTCAGTATCAAATCTTTTATAGTGAACGTACACATCATATTACTTGTAATTATTTGACACTCCGACATTAAAATTATTTTTTCCTTAAAATTCAAAAATTCTTATATTAATTAAAGTAATGATATGACTCTACAAGATTTATAATAGCAACTAATTCTGAAATTAAAGGGCTCATAAACAAAAGCCAAGTGCCAAATACTTTATCAAACACAAATATGTTTAAAGAAAAGATTAGGTACTAAGACGTATCTTGATGAAGTACTAGTTTTGATTCAAAGAAACCATTTCGTGTTCCACTTGAGAGAGAGAGCTGGACTAATTTGATAATAATCCTTCACAACCACAAATACTCGTTCAAAATTGCCCTAATTCTAAGATAGAAATCAAAATTTCACCTTTAAATTAAAAATCATCATCATCATCATGTTATTTGATAGATTTATATAGGCATACTTATATTGTATTTATGTTGATAATTTCTATAAGTAGTGATCAGGATATAATCGTGACATTTTTTGTATGGGAGCCAGAAAATAATAACATAATAATCGTTCAAAGTACGCTTTTTCCAGATTTATGTATGTATGTGCCATGAGTTCAAATTATTCAGTGCTTATATGCAAAATATTATATATTTTGAATTACCCAGAGCCTATTGCTACTGCTATTGAATGTGGCACTGTGATTCGATGAATTTCTGCGGCGCTTAAATCATTATTTCTCTCAAGTTTTGCCTATTTTATTTCAATTCCGTTTAATTCTGCTATAGAATCTTGTCACCTATCACTATTGTTATTATTCTCACTTTATAATACAGTAAATCTCGGTTTTGGGCAATTTGAATATTAATATCTTTTCAAAAATCCGTTATATCAACGCCAAGAACTTTATTATTATTATTATTATCATTATTAAACCGTTCTTGGACCTCAGTCCATTAAATCAAGATTTTAATATCCGTTGGATCGAGGTATGCTAAATCGAGAACTACAACTATTATTATCACTACAAATACTACAAAGAAAAAACTAATATCATTCGTTTTATTCGAATTGTTTGTTTTATTCGAATAGAAATTTTAACCTGTTTCCATAAAGCCAGCAGATTTGGCCATTATGAACAAATTTAACGAAACACATAAAAACGAAATATGTATAATAATAATAATTTTTTAATAACAGCTTAATCATGTGATTTACAATGTAGATTGTGTTATATACGCGACAATATGCTACAAAAATAGAAAGATATTCAGCTCTTAACCAATTTTAGATATAATTCTTTGCATTTCTGCTTTGATACATACTTCTGCGATTTCTGCGGTTTTCTGCTTGAAAATTGAAAGAGCCTCACTATAATTCGGGTTGATAATAAAACAAGGTCACACCGCAAACTAGGTTTTGCAAATCATTCCCCAAGCAGAGAAAATTATTATTAAAATTAATATATATATATATATATTAAAATTAAAATTACTACCCCGCATATTAATATACATATAATGATCAGCGGGTACAAAAATAATAAACCAAAAAGTGTTTTTGTTATCAAATTTGGTATTTTTTCTGGCTGAAATATTAACAACGTATCAACTACATCAATACCTAAATGATAGTGAGAAAAGCATGAAAATCGCAAAATATGTCAATAACTATATTAATATATTAATATTGAGATTCTGGTTATTGCTGTATGTGAATGCAAACTTAATATGCATTTTATTTTATGCATTCTTGGGCAACGTATCTTATCACTCGATTTATATTTTATTTCCAGAGGAATCTAATGGGTGGGTTGATTGTTACATTCTGGTCGAGGTGTTGTTGGTTGATGTCTATTAGATTTGGTGTGGGTTTTTTTTTATGATTACCAGATTTTGTTTTTTGTTTTTGTGCGACTTTGTGGATTTAATTTTACCAAATTGATCAACAATTCTCCATCGAAATCGTCAATTAAATCTTTTTGATCTCAAATATTTTTATTATTAATAAATATAAATTTACAAAGGTTTTTTTTTACCCTTATTGCACTCCTTTTGCTTTCCTCTACCTATTTACTCCTATAGGACTGGTCTCTCTCCTTATCAGGTAATGTCATGATACTGCTCGATCAATTATTTATGAATTTTTCTAAATTGGCTCTTTAAAAGAACCATAAAAATTTTTTTTGCATCTTTTAAGTTTTGGTGGCGATTTATCTGTTTAATTGCTTTTAATATTTAATTTAAATAATAAATATATATATAAAGTACTCATAGTCATAGCAACATTTACATTCATTTTTTTTATTTGTTAGTGAGAAATAACTTGAGATATAATGTCTAAAGATGACGATGCTCAATGTGCAGGTCAATGGGGTCCTAGACTTGCACCAAATCTGGATCCAAATCGCCAATGGGCAGCAGTTCGTCGTCGTTACGAATGGAACGATACATACGATGAAGGAATAGCTCCCAAAGACGAAGAATTGGAAAAAGAACTTTTTGGCGAAGATAATCATGTTCATTCTGGTATTAATTTTGCAAAATATGATAAAATTAAGGTGACGGTCAATCCGAGCATAAAACCTATTAGCACGGTAATTATTTATTCTCTTAAGATCTTTGGAAATATTTTTTTATGATTAATTAATCATTTATTCAATAACTTATTTATTATAGTTTGAAGAAGCAAAACTTCATCCAGCAATGAAGGACAATGTTAAATTGGCTAGATATGATATACCAACTCCAGTTCAAGTATAGACTTATTATGTTTTAAATATTAATATTGAAAATTTTTTTTTTTCAAATTTTCAATTTTAATTTTTTTGTAAAAAAATCTTTTCACCAAAAAAGAAATATTCTATTCCAATAATTACTGAGGGATTAGATTTAATGGCATGTGCTCAAACTGGTATATATGTCTATTACTTGTAAAGAGAATGTAAATTTTTTTCTGCTTTAACAATTTGCAACAAATTAAATAACACATATATATTGAATTAAATAGGCTCTGGCAAAACAGCTGCATTTTTGATTCCAATATTATCCCAAATGTTTACAGCTAAAAGAAGCTCAAGACAGTCTGGAAATACACGAAAATATAAAGCTGAACCATTAATATTAATATTAGCTCCTACGCGTGAATTGGCTACTCAAATATTTGATGAATGTCGTCGATTTACTTATAGAAGCATGATGAGACCATGGTATTTAGACTTTTAATATTTTTTCCTCCTGTAAAATCTATCAATACATGTGTGTGTATGCATGCATTTATACATAATTATAATTGTTAGTGTTGTGTATGGAGGTGCAGATTCTATTCCTCAAAAAGCTGAATTGGCTAAAGGTTGCGATATATTAACTGCCACACCTGGTAGACTAAATGATTTTATGGATCGTGGTGTACTAAGTCTTCGTAAAGTTAGGTAAATAACAATGATTTCTTTCTTTATAACTTTTTTACTTTATTTTTAAAAAAATCAATTTATATTAACATTAATATTTATATTTATACACATATTCATAATGTGTAACTTATAAAAGATATCTTGTGATTGATGAAGCTGATCGTATGTTAGATATGGGTTTTGAAACAGATATTCGTAAAATTGTTCAGGAATCTGGTAATTACTTGTCAATATTAATCAATCAATCTTAAATGCTTAATTGTAAAAAATTTACCAATTTATTCTCTTCTTGCATGTCTTTGTTTAGACCTTCTTGATGATGGTTCAAGACAGACTATGATGTTTTCAGCCACTTTTCCATCAAATATTCAAAGTCTTGCAAAGGATTTTTTGAAAAATGATTACTTGTTCCTTACAGTTGGTAGACTTGGTGGAACAACAAGTGATATTACTCAAAAGGCAAATAAATAAATTATTATTATTAATTGTTATTATATTAGTTTTAATATCATTCAAAATTAATTTCTTCCTCTTCCAAAATTAATAAAAATAATAGATAGTGTATGTTGAGGATAAAGATAAACGTGCAAAACTTGTTGAGCTACTTATGAAACAACCACCATCTCGTACTCTGATCTTTGTTGAAACAAAACGTGGTGCAGACTCACTTGATGATTACTTGTATCATAAAAATTTTCCTACCACTAGTATTCATGGTGATAGATCACAACGCGAGAGAGAAGATGCTTTAATATCATTCAAGTAAGTATCTAAATCATTGTTTTCTTCTTGTTTTGATTATAACAATATATTTAATGCTAAATATAATAGAAATGGCCGATCACCTATTTTAATTGCTACGGCTGTTGCTGCACGTGGTCTTGACATAAAAAATGTAATGCATGTCATAAATTATGATTTATGTAAAGATATTGATGAATATGTTCACCGAATCGGAAGGTTTGTGTTTGTCAATTTTATTCATAAATAAATTTATAAATGTTATTAAATTTTTTTCACCTCTCAACTAAATAGGACTGCACGTGTTGGTAATGAAGGATTGGCAACAACTTTTTACAATGAAAAGAATTCTGATGTTGCTAGTGATTTAGTTAAATTATTGTTGGAATGTAAACAAGAAGTTCCTAGTTTCTTAAAATCATACTTGCCTGATAATAAGTAAGCATTTAAAATATAATTATGTAAATAAGTAATCTTCTTTTTTATTATCCCACAACAACTCCTGACATATTTATATAATAATATAGTAATTTTGGTGATGATGCAGATTTTGATAATAAAAGAGGCGGAGGAAATAGTGACTACAGAAATCAAAATAACAAATATGCTAATAATGATTCATCAGGAGGTGTAACATCAAGTAACTGGGATGCTCATAACAACAATAACACTAGTAACGTATGGGATAATACACAACAAAAAGACATAATAAATGACACATCAGCATCAACAGCATGGGATCCTAGTAAAACTCCATGGGATGGTGGTAGTACTACCATTCAAACTCAGCAACAATTTCCTCCATCATCATTACCACAACAACCTTCTCATCAAGCACCACTGCCACCACTAACACAACAACAATATCAACATCCACCACAATATCAGCACTCACCACAAGTTAGTAATGATAATTGGTCAACAACTCCTCCTACTACTACTACTACTGCAACTCCAATTCCTCAACAACCAGCATTTCAACAGCAACCAACATTTCAACAACAACTTCCTCCTCCTAACCTTCAGTCTTTTCCTCCACAATCTTTCCCTCCACAACAACAAAATCCTTTACAACCACCACAACCTCAATATATTCATTCACAATTTACTCCTCAACCTCCATATAGTAGTCCGCAACCATTACAACCACAACAACCTGTTATTCAACAATATGGCAGCAGTGCACCACCACCTCAACCATCATTGATTGGTCAACAACCTAATCCTAATAATAATTATAACCAAATTCCTCCTCCACAACACCAAAACTATGGTTATAATTCACAATCTATACCACCACAACCACAACCACAACCCCATTCTTATCAACAAATGTCACAACCACAACAATTATCACAACAATTACCACAACAATTACCACAACAATTACCACAACCACCACAACCATTTGGTAATTATGGTGCTAGTCCTTCTAATAATAATTATAATTATTGAGACAGTTGAAAAAAAAAACCAAATAGATTAAAAAAATAATAATTATTATTATTGTTATTATAGTTATGAATTTTTTTGTTAAAAATGATTATTTGGATATTTTATATACATGTTATACATATACACATATTTTATTTTATTTTATTATTATTATTAATAGTAGTAGTATTATTGTGACATTTATATTCTTAAATTATTATTATTATTATCCAAAATTTATCAATATTTATTACTATTAGTATGTTATCTATCCTCCCTTTGTTATTATTTTTTTTCTAATTTACATATTGGCAACAAATTATTTTTTTAAAAAAATATAAATAAAAACATAAATATATATTTGATAACTTTGACCAAGTGATTAAATTAATTCTTTTAAATATCTTTCATTATATATATATGAATAATTACTGCTAATATTACGTTACCCCAGTAACTGGATCAGAGCTCAGCCCCCTACAGCTAGCTGATGGCCGTGTATTGCTACATTGGTTGGCTAACCACTGCTAAAAAAAAGCAACCCGACTACACTATACCATAACTATGGGCAGGCAGATCGTTACTTCCACCTCTAGCAAAAGATTCTGGATGGTCTTATCCATGCCCATTCAAGTACAAAAGGCCATTACGAAATGTTTCTAGCAGCGATTATGACACGGTTCCAAGTATCTAACAAAGAACACGCGATAAGCAATCAACAAAACAAAAAAAAAAGAGCATTTTTACCAGCGAGCATATATATATATGTCCGCATGTTTTGAGCTACCAACTCATGGTACCATTTCCTAACTACCCATTACATTTGGAGCACACTATGCTTGTTTGAAATTCGTCATATTTTCTGATTCAACAAACATTCAGCAGCCTCTGATACAATTCCTTTATTGGCCCTAGTGCATGGCTTCAATTGAAAGAGTGAAGTTTAAAATAAATTAGATTTGGATATATAATTGGATGTGATTAAAATGAATGGACGTAATATGTTAATGTGATTAAAATGTTTGATAATGATTTAAAATGTGAGTATTTAATAAAGTATAGTAATAAATATTTAGATATATGGTAAAATAACGTTCTTTAAAACTTGTGAAATAAAATATTAAAATGATGATGAATATAAATAAATCAGTGAAGGTATATATATATATATATATATACACAGTATAAACATTCTCATTAGGAGAAGGTGGTATTAACCATAGAAAATATAGTAGAGAAGGTAATCATCAAAAAAATGACGTTATTAAAAAGATCATTAAACATGTTAACATGTTGTAAAGATATATAACATAATATAAAAAAAGAAAAATAGTATAGATTCATTATTATTAAACAATATTAAACAATGAAACCTATCTTTTTAACTGTATAATTATATTATACGATGTTTCCATTTCTTACTTGCCCTTGTAAATTCAGTCATTGCATACCATTCTTTTTGTATTACATTTTTATCAAGATTCCTTTTTTCATCCCCAAATATACCACCAGCTTTGTCCCTTCCAGGATCAACCCCATAACTCGATCAACCAGTTGAATGTACAAAGATCATGATTATCAAACATATAATCACTTATTCCGTATGATGCATTCATTCATTGGATTTGTGAGTATAACGCTAACACTATTACTATTAAATCCATCCACCATCAAACTTTATAAAATTCAATGTTGGGATTGTATTACGTGTCGAAAATTATCCAATCAAATTAGCATTTTCTGCAGATGGTCTCTAAATTTGTACTGCTCTCAAAAATCATTTATTAACGCGTGGTCCAAACTAGTAAAAGTTAATTCCTCGCATAAATTATGGAGACTATGTGCTCCAATGCGAATAAATCCTTGATGAAATCCAGCAAGTAGCACACAAGGGTGTAAGGTCGCAACTCGCATCTTTTTTTCCGTGTCTCCTTCCCTTACTTGCATATCCACTACGTGGTTTTTCACAAACATCTTTAAAATCTTATATACAATAAAAGAAGATAGTATTTTCATCAATAATTTTTTATAGCATTATTAGCCATCAAAAATCATATCTCGGAGCTTTCTATCAATGTGCTGTCCACAAAGTTCCGTGACTATAACCTGACAATTGATAGCGTATTCAAGTGCAGCTGAGGAAATGATGTTGGTAAGAAAACCAATGATGATGCTTAAAAGAAAGTTTGTGAAACAAAATAAAAGAAAAAATTTGCATAACCTGGGACAATTCATGCGGCCATCAGGACATATAAAAATATGAATAAATTAGACGCTTTTGAAGAAATCCAGGCAGGCTATCTTCATAATGGCAGACTGCTGTAAAAACCTTCCAAGTAAAATGTTCGTAACCAAGGCAGTGGATTGGTATTTCATTCTCACAACGAATGTTTGTGTAAGTCGTGTTACTTATAAGTCATTCTCTCTGCGACATTCTCAATAATAGGACCAAGAGCAGAAATTCCACATATCTTTGCATTGGCAGTTGGTTGCAATTTTTGTCATTTACTTGGCTTATGCTCTAGGAATTGCTTAGATATTGATCGTGAATATCCTACCTGGCAACATGCTTGATTTATTGTTGCCTATGCAATGAATTTATTAGATATTTTAAATTTTCAATCATTACTATATTATTTTTTTTTTGATGCTTTACACTAAGATGAAACAAAGACTTGGAAATAGCTTCAATCAACAATACATTGATCACCCTGTACATCCTTTTATAAAAAATAAATACAAATTCACAGGCTATAATTAAATGATAAACACAACCAACCCATCATCTTGTTAAACAAATTCCATCATATACTAATATAGAATTTTGTTTAAAATTCACACTTTTATCATAATAAATAAACATATTCAATTAATATGTTTTAAATAAAGCTCTGAACAGTTCAGCTCGGTTTACATTTGACTCGAAAATTTTAGACATTCTAAACTCATTAACTACACAAAAATATACACCACTTCGTAAATAACTTGTGGCTCAGTTTGGCAAATGTATGTTGCGAAATAGAGATTCTGGAAGGATCCTGTTTCTAACTACATACATAGTATATAATTTTTATACATAATGATTGAATACATTTTAGTATTGGTATTTGTAATATATTTACAACTCAATCTTAATCTTAGTATTAGTATTAATTCTAACTATTCGTTTTATTCACTTTATTCAAAATTACACAATTTATTCGAAATATTCATTTTGTTTGAGATATTCATTTTTATTTGAATAGAAACTCTAATGATGTTTTATTTTTTTCAATTCAAATTTACTTAAATCTAATGTATCTGTAGTTTCTTTTGTGCGAAGATTGAAATAATGATGTCCCCATATGTTTCAAGGAAGCTGATGGCTAATTTGTAATTCGTGTAAACGGAAAGGATCGGTATACATTAATATTAATGTTAATACTATTAATATAATAAATAATAAGAAAATTAATTAACCTGAATCGGGTTTTGATTATCCTGCTTTAATTGTGAAATCTTGTTCCAGTAGATGGGTTAAAGCCACATTCACATTATGGGATAAATGCAAGAGAATGGAGAGTAAAAGTGAAGTATAACTAAATTGATTTATTACCTATTGAAGTTTTGAAGTATTGTAATTAGTAAATCATCATATGTTTGCTTTAGTATTATTATATTTAAAAAATATAATAGTTTATCAAAAGATAATATGACAGTTGATTTATAATGAGTAGACATGATTTTATGAATTATAGAGCGATCCCAGGATACAAGCTCATTATTGGGAATATGGAGTCACGAACTCACAATTAAACAAACCCTTACTAGATACAGTATATTACAAGGATATCAAATTAAACAAGAATATTCAAACTGGACACCAAAGCTATTTTGAATACGCGAATGCGAGTAAATTGCCCTCAGCAGAAAATGCCTGATTGGTATATTTGATAACCAGCTAATTTATCTACCCGAGCATCAGAAATTGTACTCGATTTCTTCCTGGACTAATCCATGATATAATGAGAAGTTCTCCACTATACTAAAGCTGTAATACTCCGATTTTTATTAGTATATAAATCTTCATCTAGAATTTGCTTTTTTTGCTGAAAGCTCTTAGATTTCTTCAATTCAGATGCTTTACTTCCATCAACCTATTTTTTTTTTTTATATTAAATGCAATATCCATTGAAAGAATTGATAATAAAGTTTAGCACACTCTTAAAACTGTGAGGTCTATTTTTTTGTGGAGGTTAAGAGCTCTTATGACTGATGACTAATGGAACATATGACTGACAAGTCAAATTATAATTCATAACCATTATTAAGTGTGTGCCTTAGAGATGGGCAAATAGCGTATAGTTGAACACTATACGACACTATACGATACTTTACGTATAGTGCGTATAGTGCG